GCAGCAAATAAGAGCAGCAGCAAGAAAAACCGACTTCAGTAGCTAGAGCTATTGTTGTGCTGCAGCTGCACGAAACAATTGTTAAAGGTCATGTGATGCAGCAGCAGGAACTGTAGCAGATGCTGCAGCAGCAGGAGCTGCTGCAGCAGGAGGAGCAGCAAGAGCTGCAGCAGCAGCTGCAGCAGGTGCAGCAGCAGGTGCTGCAGCAGCAGCAAAGCAGCAGCAGCAGCAACAGGTTAAGGTTTAGGTGTTTAGTATTCACAATATTTTCATAGAAGCAAAAGGAGAGGGTATTTCCTTACACTCTCACAAACCCTAAACCCTAAACCCTAAACCCTAAACCCTAAACCCTAAACCCTAAACCCTAGGGTTTGTATCACCCGTATACTTTTGCTGCTCTTCAGCAGCAGCAGCGGAAGGTTTTTCTTTCTTTCTAGGTTTCAACCCCAACACACTTTGGGGGTCCTTTTTAATATTCGTGGCAAACTAGCTAGCTAGCTAGCTAGCTAGCTAGCTAGCTGGATAGGTGGCTAGCTAGCTAGCTAGCTGGATAGGTGGCTAGCTAGCTAGCTAGTTAGGTGGCTAGCTAGCTAGCTGGCGAGAAGGCTGGCTAGCTGGATAGGTAGCTAGCTAGCTAGCTAGCTAGCTAAGCGGGGCGGGTAACCAGTCACGCGGCTGCTGTGTAGCAGAGCCCATTCGTTGCGCTGTGCGGCCGCTCGCCCGCTCACTCGGTAGCTAGCTAGCTAGCTAGCTAGCTGGCTAGCTGGCTGGCTAGCTAGCTGGCTGGCTAGCTAGCTGGCTAGCTAGCTGGCTAGCTAGCTAGAGGCCTTTTGCCTGTAAGACAATGTAAATATCTGTTTGCTTGGAGGTCCCGCAGAGAACAGAAAGAAAGAGACAGAGACAGAGAGAGAGAGGAGACAGATAAAGAGACAGAAACAGAGACAGAGACAGAGACAGAGACAGAGAGATAGAGACAGAGACAGAGAGATAGAGAGATAGAGAGGGGAAGAGATAGAGAGAGAAAGGGATAGAGAAGAGACAGAAAGAAAGAGACAAACACAGAGACAGAAAGAAATATAGAGAGATAGAGAGAAGGAGACAGAGACACAGAGAGAAGGAGACAGAGACAGAGAGACAGAGACAGAGAGACAGAGACAGAGAGACAGAGAAAGGAGACAGAGAGAGAGAAAAAGAGACAGATATATATATATATATATATATATATAGAAAGGGGAGACAGAGAGAAAGAGATAAAAGAAAAGATAGAAAGAAAGAGACAGAGAGAAAGAAAAAGAGACAAAAAGAGAGACAGAGACAAAAAGGAGACAGACAGAAAGAAAGAGACAGAGGAGACAGAGACAGAGATAAAGAGACAGAAGATACAGAGACAATATAAATATATAAATATATAAATATGTAAATATATACATATATATATATATATATATAT